ACAACAGAAACCCCCGACCCTCTATGAGGAGTTAAACCCAAATCTTAAAGTGGCCAAGGTTGAGAAACATTGGGATAGGGGATCAGATGTGGGTAGAGAGGCTAGTAGAGGGCCAATTTAACCTATTTAAAGGTAGCATCTCTTCTGAGCCCAGCTCAGCTTCTGGGGACTTCATAACCTGTGCAACCATAGGAAAGTGTTTCTTGTCTTCTCCTGCCTCCAACTTTCAAGTCTAGCCTATCTCTGGCGTGTGTCCTGGTGGTCTCCCATCTATATGTTAAGCAGAGTTTATCAAGACCTGCCTAAAGTCATCTACGTGCTTCCCACTAGCTGGTTTCTTGGCCAGATAAGGGGCGAATTGTCCCAAACGAACCTCCATCACGCGATCCTTCAACCCAGAATGGGAATTTTACCTCGTCCGTAATTTGCTTTGGAGGCCCCCACAACACAGCACAGCCAGGAACGCACGATCCGGACAGTGTTTCACAAACCAGGTTCAATATTAAGAAACCTGCAATGCGCCACACTCCTTTATGAGCGAGTTTGTTAAGACAGGGCATCTCTGCATCTTTTGAAGCTCTTTTCTCCAGAATGCAAACCTGGGCGGCCCGGTGGCCTTTTCCCAGATACGCCAGCCGCTAAAGCATCATCTGCTTTTCACTTGCGAGGTTCTGAAATCTCCCGTTTATTTCCCAGCCTCAGCAACTTCTCCTCCAAAAGCATTAAGGGGGAGAAAGCGCACCGTTGAATTGCATCGCTGCCCATCCAAGGAGGTCAATCATTTTAGGCTCTGTATTGTGGGGCTCCGGTGGGGAATCGCCCCTCTTGAAAGGGCAACGTGCAGGATTTTCATTACGAAAAGCAGTAAGGTACAGAAGTTGAAGGCAGAGCAACCGGTGAGCAGCACTGATTAAAAAAAAGGGGAAGACAAAGTGTTTGGCTAAAGTGTGTGTGTTTGGGGGACTACGGGGAAGCAGAGACAACCCAATTAATTTTCTGAACACCAAGGGAATCCATTTGAGCTGTTCCAAGCCTTCCAGCCTTGTTAACGCTCAGCACACCTTCCAAAGATCAGATGATTTAAAAACAGATGCAGAACACTTGCCTGGTAGCGGGGAGGCGTACAGAACGAGCCACACGCCAGCCGCGAGGACATGTAATTGCTGAGCAGAAGAGAAAGCATCAGCTTGTATCCCCAAAGAGATATCTTGCGCATTTTGATAACCAAAAGGGTTTTTAAAAAAGGCTTTCAGAAGGATTGAGGGTTGGGGGGGGAGCTAACCTAGGAGAAAATCAATCTATGGGGTGGCTAGGAGTCGAAAACCGGAGGGCACATAATCAATTTCATTGCAGGAAGAGAGGACTATTAATTCTCTTCCTCCCTCCCTAAAAAATTGTTTTTACCATTTGAATGTGAATTACCACCTAGCTGGCGGGGGAAGTCTGCATTTCTCTGCTCGACATTTT